ATTTTTTGCATTGAGTTGATAGAGTAATTTGAGTTAACGAGCTCAGTCCCAGAACGAATTAAACTCGTAAGTCAAGGCCCCACTGTGTGTGTGTGTGTGTATATATATATATATATATATATAGAGAGAGAGAGAGAGAGAGAGAGAGATAGAGAGTCTAAGCGAATCCATAAGACTGTAAGACTGACTGCCACACCAAGGGTCACAACAAAATCCTGGTGAGTCTTTAGAGAAGTAAATATGTACCAGCCCTGCAACCCAGGTACGTGCCCCTGACCAGAATCGAACCTGGTACCATTCAGTCTGCAGGCCGACACTCTATCCACTGAGCCAAAGGGGCCAGGGCCAACTCATCCTTTAAAGGCCTTGGCCAGCCCTGGATAGTTTGGCTCAGTGGATAGAGCATTGGCCTGCAGATTGAAGGGTCCCGGGTTCTATTTCCATCAAGGGCACATGCCCCAATTGTGGGCTCCACCACATGTGGGACATGCAGGAGGCAGCAGATCAATGACTCCCTCATCATTAATGTTTCTCTCTCCCTCTTACTTCCTCTCTGAAATCAACAAAACAAAAATAAAAAATAAATAAAGGCCTTGGCCACTGGGGAACCATTCTCTCTCCCCAAGACTCTACCTGACCACTCTGTCCCTTTGCTGTGTTGTGACACCCACCTCCCACAAACAGGGGCCCCGGCAGGAAACCAGTCCTCAGGGTCCCACTGTCCCTGTGAGCTACCACTACCATTACCATCCTGACCATGGATCCCTGTATTAACGTGATCTACGGTCCTGGCTGATTGTGTGAGTTGGTTGAGCATCGACCCAGGCGCTGAGAGGTGGCAGGTTCCAGCCCTGGTCAGGTCACAGGCCTGGGTTGTGGGCTGGACCCATAGAATGTTTGTTGCTCATCACTGTTTGTCTCTCTCTCCTTCTTCCTTCCTTTCTATATTTAAAATCAATTTAAAACATATCTACACTAATAAAAGAGAAACATGGTAATTATCGTACGACCGCTACCCTTCCCATTGGCTAATCAGTGAGTATATGCAAATTAACTGTCAGCCAAGATGGCGGCCGGCAGCCAGGCAGCTGGAAGCGAACATGAGGCTTGCTTGCT